CCGCGATATTGCTTCAGAAATATATTCACATTCAACGATTTCAGTTCCGGAAGAAGACAAAAGTCAATGCGAGAAAAGCAACGTTTCCTATGTCTCACAAACTTCTAAACAATTGCTTCGACCAAAGAGTTGGGATAATAGTTGTAACGAGTTATCTGTTTTTGGACCAAAATTACCACAACAAGAGATACCAAAACCAAAAAATAAAATGAAATCAATTAATTGGTCTAAAATATCGTCAGAAAAGATAATATCATCGGAAAAACCAAACTTATGGAGTCTTGTGGCGGCGCAACACAAGTCAGACTTTCATACAAACGTAGACTTTAGTGAACTCGAAGAGCTGTTTTGCCAGCCCTTCAACAACTCGGCGCCCAATTCATGCCCCGGGTCTCCACGTTTGCAAAGACGCCCGCATTCATCGGAAATCGTTGGCTCGCCGTTCAATAGCCTCGAAAGGAAAGGACTAAAGCGATTGAGCGGTGAATATCAGGCGCCCCTTGAGTTGCAATTATTAGACGGAAAGAAATCGTTGAATGTGAATATATTTCTGAAGCAATATCGCGGAAGTATTGAAGATTTAATAAACAAAATCTCGTGCGGAGACCACAAAGAGATCGGAACCGAGAGGTTAAGAAATTTGTTGAAAATACTTCCGGAAGCGAATGAAATAGAATTACTGAACAATAATAGTGAAGAATCTCATCGATTGCCGGTCGCCGAGAAGTTTTTGCTACATTTGATAAAAATACCAAATTATTTGATAAGAATTGAAGGAATGCTTCTGAAGGAAGAGTACTATTCAAATGTCACTTATTTAGATCCGGCCATTCAGTCGGTGCGTAATGCCGCCAAAGAGATCAGAGAAAACCAGAAATTGCACGAAATATTGTACTCGATATTAATCTTTGGCAACTTTTTAAATTCGGTTTGTTTTATTTGATTGTAACATTATTATGATGTTTTAATGATTACATATATATTAAAGGGCGGTTATGCAGGAGATGCGGCCGGTTTTAAGATGATGTCTTTACTTAAATTGCCTGAAATTAGAGCCAACAAGCCAGGTCTCAGTCTAATTCATTACATAGCAATGGTATAATTTTACTTATACAATATTATTAATTAAAATCATATGAATTCATTAAATACTATATTATCCATATATAGCACGCTGAGAGAAAAGGATGGCATGACTTTAGTGTAGAGCTTCCGAGTCTGGAAGAAGCCTCGAAGTATGTTTATTCAATTAAACAATTATATTTTTATTATTAACACCGATTTAATGATAATATTACAGAATTTCAATCGAAAACCTTCGATTGGAAGTCAATTCGTTGTCAAAGAAAATCCAGACAATAAGTGAAGAAATTAAAAAACAAGACAAAGATTTATCGCTTCATAAAGAAATGGATAGTTTCCTCACTTCTAGTGATCGAGAAGTGAAAAAACTGTCGACTGCTGTGGAAACCCAGTTAAATGAAATACGTGTAGAAATGGCAGAATTTCTATGTGAAGACTTGGATCGGTTTAAACTGGAAGAATGTTTTAAAGTGTTTTCATCATTTTGTCATCGATTCAAACTAGCAATCGATGAAAATGAAAGACGACGAGAGAATGAGATGAAACTGGAGGCCCGGAAGTCGAACTCTCAACTAAAACGGTGGACAAACAGCACAGAGTCGGATAGCTTTTTGACGGAGTCTAATAGTCTAACGCCAACCAATTCTAGCAATTGTTTAACAAATTCATTGAATGGTTCACTAAATGAAAACAAATTGAAAAGAAGGTCACGAAGGAGTTCACAGGACGACGAACTCCACTCCGGGCTCATGGAGTTCCTGAAGACAACAAATGATATCGTAAGCAATGATATACCGATATTTGGCGGAAGTTTCAGAAGAATGGGAAGTGGAAGACGAAGTCGTACTTCGATTCCTATTATTTCGGACTCAGAGCTAAACAGTAGAGACAGAAATACAACTGAAACTCAAATCAAAGAAGAAATGAATGAATTGAATGAAAACACAGAATCTGATGGCAATAAACATTTAGTGAAAAAGAGCGCTCATTTATCTGATGTAGAATCTGATGATGAGATTCATAAGAAAAAGTCTTCTTTTGACAGATTCTCTCCTTTAAGGAAAACATTAAGTTATAAACCGTCAGAACTGGAGTCACGACTCAACAAACGTTTGACTAAATTAGATGACAATAAGATTTTGATTAATAATAGCAGTGAACCACAGGAACCCAAACCAATTGACAAGAATATTATATCTGCCGAAAGGGTTTCGAGTCCAACACAACTGAGACAGTATTGGGCCACAAGAGATAACAATTGCAATACCAATAGGACGGGCATAACCCGTCCCTCAACGCTGTTTGTGTCGAGCAATTACAACAGTCAACAGCCGACTGCTGTCATAACACCTACTAAACTGATCAGAAACGATGAAATTGCGACCGAAAGTCCAACACTTCTGTCGCCTATATTGACGTTAGAATCGGAGCGACTCAACAGAACTGGTTGTCTGCCCCGTCGGACAAGTATAACATCCCCGTCCACTGCAACGGCCGCAGCAATTGTAACCCCCATACAAATGAATGAGAAACCCATAGATGAGAAACAGACGGATAAACTTTCGGCCGGACCTTTGAAATCAAAACTTCCTCTTCCGGTCAGAAGAACGCCATCCAATCCATTGACACAACCGAAGAAGAATTTGACGACCGCTCTAAATGTACCGAAGATTGGAATACCTGTTCCCACAAAGACATCAACGATTCGACAGACGTCTGCCCCCATGAATACCCGGACATATAGGACACCGTCGACTGTGAGCCGCACGAACATGACATCAGACATGGGCTCCATATCATCGATGAGGCGCTCGTCACAACTGTTGTCTCCCAACCGATCCTTTATGAAACAGACGTCTTCTTCAGCAGCAAAGAGTCGAATCAATTCTAGATATTAATCAAAACACAATTCAATAAATACTCAACACTTGGTGTTTGAAATAAATGCAGTATTGACCCGACTTTACAGAATATTATTCACTAAAATAGTATTAATTAGAATATAGCCTTTTAAAAATAGCTAAATATTTGTTATGAACGCAAATTTTTATTAAATTAATTCATGTTATGTTAATACATTGTATAGTAGTTATTAAAATAATTGTGAAAAATCTTATAAATGATTCATTGACCTAAACAAATAATCTCTAAAGTATTATTATTACGATATATGATCAAATGTTTTTATATACAAAAGTTTTATTTTAATATTGATCTCAATAGAGAATGGATTTAAAATTAATAAAATACTATTTGAAAATTTGTTGGTTTAATCATTCAGTATTGATAGTAATGTTGAATAACAGAATGCTCTAGTAAGTTATACAGGACATGTGTAATTAATTGAATAGATTTCCTGTATTGACAGTTAAATGTATTGATTTTTTATGAAAATGATGTGATTTTTATTGATATTTAGGTCACAATTATCTTTCATTAAAGACAATGAAAAGGAAGGGTTTGTCGGATATATTGTTTTATTGCAAACGAACTAAAAAATGTTGTTATTATTACTATTATTAGTAAATGTCACTAAAATACTACTAATTTTCATACATTCAAAAATGTCAAGTTTGTATCACTTGATGAGTACTGTAGTCTGTATATGTCAAAAAGTTTGCATTTTACTAACTATAAAATTTTCATTTGAATATCACTTAAATAGAATACACTTGCTAGATAAAGCAATTTTTTAATATAAAAAATAGATTTGATTTTATAATGTATTTTAAAGTTCAAATTATATTTTTATTGTTTATATTTGTCGTGGAGTTTAAGTCAAATATAATCCAAGGACTACATCGAGAGAAAAGATGTGAGAAGTTATATATTTTTAAAACTTTTAAATATAGAATATGTTATTATAAGTTATCAATAATAATGTGATAATGTTTGCAAAGTCTGGAACTTTGGATTAAATAACGGAGGATTTGGCGGCATTAATGGTCTTAATGGAGGAAATTTAGGATATTTGCCAGGATTTGGCTCAGGGTTTGGGCCCAAAGATATCAATGGAATTGATTCCAAAATCAGTGATTGTGCCACAAGTGATGGCAACAGAACTGTACTAATTTTCATACATTCAAAAATGTCAAGTTTGTATCACTTGATGAGTACTGTAGTCTGTATATGTCAAAAAGTTTGCATTTTACTAACTATAAAATTTTCATTTGAATATCACTTAAATAGAATACACTTGCTAGATAAAGCTTAATATAAAAAATAGATTTTATAATGTATTTTAAAGTTCAAATTATATTTTTATTGTTTATATTTGTCGTGGAGTTTAAGTCAACTATAATCCAAGGACTACATCGAGAGAAAAGATGTGAGAAGTTATATATTTTTAAAACTTTTAAATATAGAATAATTTATAAGTTATCAATAATAATGTGATTATGTTTGCTAAGTCTGGAACTTTGGATTAAATAACGGAGGATTTGGCGGTATTAATGGTCTTAATGGAGGAAATTTAGGATATTTGCCAGGATTTGGCTCAGGGTTTGGGCCCAAAGATATCAATGGAATTGATTCCAAAATCAGTGATTGTGCCACAAGTGATGGCAACAGAACTGGAATATGTGTCAGAACTCAAGCCGAGTGCACAAGTCGTGGCGGCAGACCATTAGGGGCTTGTTATGCGACCCCACAATATGGGTCTAATCAAGGTGTCCATTTAAAATGTGGTTTAAAATAAACTATTTTAATATGCTTAAAATTCTTAAATAGGTTCTTCTATAAATTCTTTTAATGGTAATACATGGCCACAACAACAGGGAATTCCTGTAGGAATTTGTTGTTTCTGTGAGTAATCCTATAAATCATATTAATAAATTCAAATTTTGCAATCACTAACAAACTAACAATTTGTATATTTCTAAATATAAGTCCAAGTGACGTGCGGGGGAACAATCATAAACAATGGCACTTAGTATGTATTACTTGTTATTTATGAAAATATGAACACATTTTATAATTCGAAACAATTTGAAGATGAGCTATAAATTTATTTTATGAATATATATAAATTAATTAAAGATATAGTGATTACAAAATGTAATATATTTTATGTCAGTTTCCGAAACCCAAACGCGCCGTCGCCTTACACTGAGTCGAGGGCCTGTTCGGTGTCAGTGCAGAGACTGCGGCCCGATATCTGTCAACTCAGACTAGATTTCCTGGTTTTTGATTTGAGTCGTCCGCGTGAAGGCACCTGTGATTCGGACAGATTTGTGGTGAACGGACAGACACAGAATAGTATCATTCCTCCCGTTTGTGGATATAATACGGGTCAACACAGTTAGTAGACACTAACCACTTGCAAATAAAGCAGTTATTCATCTGTGATTCGGACAGATTTGTGGTGAACGGACAGACACAGAATAGTATCATTCCTCCCGTTTGTGGATATAATACGGGTCAACACAGTTAGTAGACACTAACCACTTGCAAATAAAGCAGTTATTCATACACAATTTGATTTAGTGTATATCGACATGTCATCCACCAATAGTCCGGTTACTCTAAATATATTAACGATGGGAAACAGGAATAGACTCTTCGATATTAGAGTATCACAAATACATTGCAACTCGAATTATAGGGGTAAGAGTGTGTGTAATCTATACATAATTATACAATAATAATTATAAAAGTTTTAAACCTAAAGTTATGAATAATACAATTTATGAAATTAATGACAGCACCGGCTAATTGTCTTCAGTATCACATCGGAGTCCAGGGATCTATTCGCTCGTTTAACTACGACGAGCCAAATGTAGCCGCACAGGGAGGTTATCTCAATAACTTAGACTACACCATCTGTTTCAAGAAAGAGCCGGGGTTTTGCACCGTTACTTATTCTGTGCCAACAGTTTACGTACATATCAATGACCCCAATCAGTCACAGGAGGGACCCATGACAATATCCCCGGGCAGATATTTTAATATAATACCCGACACATCGACTAACAATGCTGTTGGCAATGATCAGGCGGGTGCCGGTCCTTACGACTGTCCATTCGACTACCTATTCTTAGCCGGAAGAAGACTTTGCGGCTCAAGATTTAACGGCCAGTTATACCCTCCTATGCCTAACCCGTCGGTCAACTCAGAAGTGACTGGTATATGAATAAAATTACTTCTATTATATTAATAGTAATTTAAGCTTGATAATTTTTGATTTGCAATATGTCTATTGTCGTGGCCTGGGTATATACGGGCGAAACATTGGTTAGTAGTCCTTCAGCCGGCTCCTAAATTAGATTTGATATCTTACTTAGGGACAAATTAACCTCCGATTAGGAGTTTACAAGAAATTACAAATATTTTGATTTATTAAATGTGTATATTTAAAGCATTTATAAAACATTAAATTTTACTTTATTTTAATTGCATAAAAAGATAACAATTTAAATAAACATTTGAATGCACAAATTGTTAATTAAAGCTGACATACAGCACAGTACCTGCAAACATATGGGTTATCAAAGTGTATACCAAAACAATGCATACATTTTTATTAATAGTATGTATTTTTCTAATCACAGGTGAGTTAAATGATAAACTTTTTGTAATCAAAATAATCTAAGAAATGTTCACAAATGAGGCGATGAATGCACTGAAAGGAGAGCGCAAACGGGTTTCAAAGATCCGGTCGGAATCATAGCTCAGTTCGGATTCTGGTGCTATAGTCGCCATCGGTTTGTCACTCATCCACACAATTCATATTTGTGTCCATTTAATGAATAATGTGTTTCATAGGAATACACCCCAGGACATCAAAGATTGTATGAATAAATGCTTTCAACACCTCAATCAACACAATAGCCATGACATTCAATGAATGCTTTTTATATGAATTCTGCCGTAATTATATCAAACAGGTTAAAATGAATCAGTTCACAATCAAATATCAGCTAAAATAATGTTTCAAAATTAAAAGCAAGTGTAATTAAATAGACATTTGTTAAATAAATTAAAATTGTAAGATATAGTTTAAAATAAATTGTATGTTTGTGAGCATGCATTTAATTAGTCAATAATTGAATTGATAACTACTAAAATCTCGATAATATTACTGTATTATAGTACTGTATGCTACAATTTAGTAACATTTGTGTTGATTTAGTATATTATAAATAAGATGCACTCAATGTGTGACAGGATTGCAGTGAATACATAGTAATGAGAGGATTCTTGCAATGAATGCGAGAAAGAGTGTTATGTAATGGTTATGAATAGTGAATAGAAAGCCCACACAAGACCTCATTCCTTACTTAGCCTTACATCGGATCCATTGCTGTCATTGTGAACACTATTCACGATTTTGTTGGCAAACAATACTTGTTAACATTTGCTATATTAGTTCATAACAGATGTTAACAATTAGTGAATTAAAGAATATATAATTGTATATAATCTGTGAGTGAATTCATGTAAGACTAGTGAATGGATAATGGATTGGAATCGTAATGTGTATAACAATGCGGTCACCGCTCAGCCAAATAATTGGGGAACTGGTGGTCAACGGCCAACACCCGCCTCACAACCGGTCACTACCCAACCCCACGGCTCCAACCAGTCGTGGTGTTGCTTCTGTCTGCCCATACCCTGCCTGTGCTGTGACTGTTGGGGCTGTGACTGTCATCTGATCCCCTGTTGTGACTATTGTCCCGATTGACCGCATTATCACTGAAATTGTCCACTAATTCACGAATAATCTGCTTATTCTGTGCCATAATGTCACTCGATTCAACAGTACAAATATATTTAACTAACCCAGGTATACTGTATTTGGTTAACATTATATTTCAATACATTGTAATACAGAATTTGATCTGAAATATGTACAAGAATATCAATTTTGTTACAATTATATAGATAATTAAGAATTTAAAAATTAATTTTAAATGTCATTATTAATAGTGTAATAATTATTATAATACACACTAACAAGTACAGTAAGGTCAATCCCTATGTAATTCAATGCAATCGTATAATTAAATGAATGAATTTCAATGTAAAAGAGAGGGAATAACTTATATTCATATGCAGAGGAATATACTGTAATCACTTCAGTGTTGAAATTTGTATAATAAACTACAAATGTATTGAACGTATGGCACAAACGCTAATGCATTTGAATGCATGGTATGAGTGCTTTTGAAAGTGAGTTAAAGTATGGTTTGGCAGCAGATATGCAGTGATGCGAGTGTTGGACGGGAGCAGTGGTCTCCCCCTCAGGGAATGGTATGAAAAAAAGTAAAGTGAATGCATTTTCGGGCCCAAAAGTACGGGTCCGGACCGGACGACTGGGCTGATCGCAAGTGCCTATTCACGGGCGCGAACCCACTACTGCTAAACGCGGGAACTTTTGCCTGCTGCGTCTCCGCCCTGGGCCTATACGCTCCTC